CGGGCACTCGACGAGACATAAACAGATTGAATCGGAGTATAGGATGCACGTCATAACAAATTAAAAAGATAGACTCGTTACAGTGCATATAGTGATAAAACTATAACTACAATTTTACGAGCTGACTAACGATATTAGAAACTGACTTCGTGATATTGAAGAGCACCCATTTTTAACTAATAAAATCGACTTTTTTAATTTTTGTATTTTTTGAATTACGCGACTTCATGATATGATGAGTTTGAAATTTTAGGCTCAAAAAAGTGCTATGGTATTAACGATAGAAAATTGAAGAGCGGGGGTGTGGTCATTTATAATGGGAAAAATATTCGAAATTTTTTTGGGGGGAGGGGTGATCTTGACCCTAAAGACACCTCCCATGGATCCGCCTCTGACAGAATCATGAAATCGCGTGTTCTAGATCTTATTCGCGGCACTAAGAAAATGGATTCATTTTAAAATGATATTATTAACCACAGATAATGATTATGTATTGAGGTGTCTCCTCGTGAAACAATGTTGTATGTTAATACGTGAACAATGTACGAAGCGAGACCTTTTTGGTAGTATATTTGTTTCTATTACCTTTTTACATGGCAATTTTAGCGAATTGAAAATGGCCACTCCACAGAAGGTAGCGAACAGATAAAAGGCGTCCTCGTTGTTTTTTACACTGAAACATCCGCGAAGGCATAGACTAAATACTGGAGTACCACAAAGAGGTTAAGTAATCAGACGATTGTTTGACATTCTTGATACCGTCTTAAAAAAGAAGCGTAGCGAAAGTTTCGTTCGTACAGTGGTCGGCGACTTATGAGTGACTGTGTCTGGCATCCGGCCGTGTGAATTCTGTCTATATCGCATAGCAGAGTGAACGGAATTTGTGTGGCGTTATGCTGGACATACACCGTCACTGGCAGTTTGGCGACTGCTGTACGAACAGGATTTATATGGCCTAGAAGGCAATGGAATCGGTCAAGAAGGCACAGAGTAACAAGTTGGCCATAGGCGTCAACTGGCCCGACTCGTGATCAGGAAGAGCACCGATGATTCGTTTTGCTCATATCAAGTGCAACTGTTTTAGTTGTTTTGCATGGTATGAGAACCTAAGAAGATGGCCAGTACTTGGAAGCAGTATATCTTTTTACTGCTTCGAAGTACTGTTTCTGGATATTCAGATAACGTTGTTTCTATTGTGTAGGATGATTTGAAAGCAACAAGGTATTAAGCTTTTTCTCTTCTCCACAGTTTTCTACTTGGCAACGCTGTGAAGCTTTTACGGTTGATCGCCGGCGCTGCCTGTCATATTTCAAAAAATATGTCTCCGTCGCGTCGGCCCGCGGCCGTTGCGGCGCGGTCCCATGCCCAAAACTCGTCCCTCAATGAACATACGCTATTTGTTTCATTCAGGGTATTTGTCATTCATGCCACTGCGACCAAGACCTGTTCCTCGATTATAGAGATATTAATTCCTACTCATGTTTTACCGTTCATATTATACTATAAATAATAGGATAAATAGAAGAGGCACAACAGGATATAGTTAGCTGACAAATATGTAAATTTTGCCTTGATGAAAGCAATCTCTGGAGGCTTATGATTTGAAATGGAATCATAAAATGAATGATTACTTCCGACGTCAGTAAGCGTAGATCAATCGAAAATAGTTTCGTGTCTGAGATTTTCTATTTCCATCCTACGTTTATCGTTCTAAATTGATTCATAGATACTTTTTCCAGATCGATACAGGCGCGGATCCAGGGAGGGCAACTGTGCCATTGCGCCCCCAATGCCTCGGACTTGCAGGAAAAAAATAAGGGAAGGGAAAGGAGAATAAAAGGAAAGAGAAAATGGTGATGATAGAAGGTTAGAAAAGAGGGGGAAGGGAGGGAAGCTGGAGCACAAACGGCTTGTCAACAGCCTCTGTAGTAGGCAACCCACACTACTTACCCCCGCCCACCTATCCGCACCTACATTATAGCTCTTTCGTAGACAGTATTTGGATCTAACTAAAAGTGAAGACTAGAAAACTATAAAATTGAGATCAAGTAGTTGACATTTTAAACCAAGACAAAATATCAGAGCAGACATTAACACTAATTCCGTATAATGGTTTCAGCACCATAGATGTTTGTAGGAATTTAGTGTAAGCTTAGAAGTACATATAGAGCTTTAGTGCAGAGCTTTACTTGTAGTTATGGATGGAGTAGATGTGTGAATTGCAAAGAGTGTGCAGTTATGTTATAGATCCGAGAGAAGCTGATTACAGATAGTTTTTACTTCCCAAGTCTACTGGCGGGGAAGTATTGTCATCGCGAAAATTTTCAAAAACATTATATTTCTTTTTGGAAGGAAGCTATGTGACATGTACATCACGTAAAATCATTTTCCTTGTAAATATTGACTCATCCGACCATAATATTCTAGGAATAGTGTTTTCATTTGCTAATATCCATTGGCAAAACTCGATTCGTGGTAATAAATCTGCCTTCGTTACATGCTGCACCCGTTTAAAATGATAAGGATGTAATCCTTGCATTCTTGTCATTCTTCCCATCTAAAATTATTATTTTTAGGATAACTGTCAAATAGGTATTCATACATTTTTCTTACTATTGATCGGGGTATATCCATAATCTCTGAAACATTTCGTATGCTTATTTGCGGATTATTTTCAAACATATTTAAAGCAATATCCATACGATGATTTCCAGTGGCCTTCCTGAGCTCTGCATGCGCTGAAAACTTCCATGGTTTGACAAATTCCGGTGAATATTAGTAAACATTCGACGTCCAGGTACTATGCGATTGGGAAATCTTCTTTGATATTCTCTTACGGCTGCCAATGAACTGCCATTGCGAAACCCGTACACAAAATTCATGTCAGTCAGTTCTCTGTCTGTAAATGTTGGCATTTTAAATCGATTTAATAAAAATTTTGATTTTAATCTAGTAATTTTACACTGCTAACAATGTCAGCTTAACGTCAAAATAAGTCGTAACAAATCAAAACAACCTTTTTTGCAGTCATGCATCAACAAATCATTTAAATTCGCAGTACAATTCCTATCATGTGACAAATTTTTTAGTTTGATTTTATTCAAAAAAGACACAATTTATCTATATTCAATAAGCGTACCTTTTTTATGTAAAAAACCCTAAATTTTCAAATTCTAAAATTGAATTGCAAAACTAGAATCACACAAAAATTTTGGGGCTAAAATAACCTGAGTCCGTCCCTGTTACATACGCTTCCAAACAAAACTGTCTAAAATGGTTACTATTTTTAAATCCAGCATAAATACTAGGCTAGAATACCAAATTTTATGTCTTTATCTCAACACGTTTCGGAAATATTAAGGAAAAACCATCTTCAGGGTAGCCCCTTTAAAAGACCGCAGCGCCCTTAGGGGACGTTTGTCGACCTTGTTTATATGAAATTTTCTTCCTATTTTAAGCTCTAGAAACCGCTGGTAAAATATTGCACACTTTTCTCGTGACACCCTGTATAGGTTTTTTACGTATTAACCCTACCGCGGCTGTACCAGCGGTTCAGATTCTCGCCAGCTACCACCGTGATCGACATGTGTTCCGAGATTAAGATTAAAAGCTCAACCATTCTTCATAAAGGGATGTGCGTTTGGATCCTCGTATTACTTAAGGTGACGTACTGTATTTCAGGGCTGTGTTTAACTGTACCAAAATCCTACATCCTCAGGCAGTAATAACCTCTAGGTATTTCTTCACAGATAAAACTGTTAAGAGTATTCTTCTCTCCAACTCAACCATAGCTTAGTTTGATACTCTCGATGTATAATTTTATTTTATAATCTAATGTATAATAGAATCATTGTTGGAGCTGGAATTGGGCCTTGTGGAACAACCGTGTTGATATTGTGGAGTGGAAAAAAGTCATCATTTACATAAGATATCTTACAATCTGAATAAGATATGGTTGGATATCTGCAAGACCATAGAGAAGATCTTCACATAGAAGAGTTTTTTTTATACTCCAATTACCACGAAGGCCCAAGGCCTAACCACCCATTGGGTACCGTGTGGCTCTAGGGGGATACAGGGGAAAAGGGGGACGCCACACGGACTCTGGCGAGGGAACACGTGTGCATGCAACATGCCCACATTCTGACTCCGCCTACGAGATCCGCCGGGTGGTACCTCCGCGTTCGACAGTCAGAGACCGTCTACCACCTACGGACAATCATAGCATCCATAGCCAAGAGAAAAATTTCTCCTGGGACGGGATTCGAACCCGCACAGCGCAAGAGTCTAGTACTGCGGCCACCGCTGCTGCCTAAATATCAAGAGTAAAGACTCAAGCTTAAGCCGCATACTCCACAACGTGACATAAGTTATGAGATCCCCCACCTGAACATTGTTTTCGGAAACCTATCGCTATTGAAGCAGTGCTGCTTCAGATATTTTCCAAGCTCCCTATTGATATATCCCTCCCCGAGGTGTAAACTATACCCCAAAACGACCTAAGCCGAGAAATACTGCACATGCATCCTCAAGAAATAACTTACATCAATTTTGAACTAAACTTGCCACATTGCAAATCAGGTACCATACCTGCGATCTGCGACTTATCTCCAGCAGTGCGCTAATAAGCAGGCTTTCTTGTCTCGATGCCGTTTTCTCTAAAACCAACAATCGTTATCCTTGGCGGGCGAGGCTGATGCGCTGGCCGCGGACTATTAACAGCGCCAATATATCCTGAAGAGGGAGTGGTAATTACTATAATCTAATAAGTATCCTCGTTATTAGCTGGCTTCCACACGCCCACCGCTTCCACGGTAAGAAGAAGAGTCGAAGAATGGGATGAAGAGGCATCTCGAGTTCGAGAGGGATCCTTACCATAAATAATCGATAGTTAATAAGCCTCATTTCTTCTCTCGCTTTTTGGATCGCATTTGCTTTGTCGTCGTGGTAGCGTGTGTGATTTCATCGCAATTATATCTGTTATCTGTTTCTTTGCAACCATGTTGGTTTATGGGTCCACAGTAGCGAACGGTGAGCATCTCTTGAAAGTTGCTACGTGTTAGTGATCACAAAGAACTGCACCCATTACCTATTCTCCAATTTTGATATGGTTGTCTCAGAATGAGGAAACTCTCAAAAATGCTGTACAGTGGACCTCCGGTAATCCGACAAACATTATGCAGATCAGTGTCGGACTATCGAATTTGTCGGATTTTAGAGCACTGCCTAAGATCCTTATAGTCTGGAATTTTTTACAAAAGAGTACCTTGTAATCCGACAAATTACATATCCAACAGTGAGATTATGTATACATATATGTTATGTATATGTATGTACTTTCAAGTACAAATCATACATAGTTTATGTATGTCGAATTTAATAAATTAAATAACAATAGAGAGCTTACGTTTTATTATAAAATTAAGCATAAATGCACATACATATGTTCCAAAATAATCAAGAATTATTAATCAAAATCATTAATGCATTTATCAAATTATGAAGCTTGGAAATATTCATCAATTTTTTTTTGTTTAAGGTTGTTATAACGCGAGATCAGAGTTTGGTCCCTCAGTTTTCTCATAAGTAAAAGTTCGTTGTATGTTGTACTATTCTCTTCAGCCCATTGTAAACCTAGCTCAAAGGCGTTAATTGCGTCTTGTGCTGTGACTTGTGGAGCAGTTGCAATCACGTCGTCGTTATTTTCCTGATTGTTTGTTGTATAATTATAAACCTCTTTTATGATCTCTTCGTCAGACATTTCATGAAAAACATTTTCCTCTTTATCCATTCCACGGCACCAGATTTCCAAATCTTCCGGACTTATCTGTATTTCAGTAGCGACTTGTTCTATAACTTCCGAAGTAACATTGATTTGTGGAACGTTGCTAGGAGTGGTGACTATATCTGGCCATAACTTTTTCCAAGACGATTTAATAGTTGATGACGGTGACGCATTCCACGACTGACCAAGAGCAGAAACCAAGTCTTTCATATTAATTAAATTTTTTTCTATTGGTTGGTCTTTTGACACGGCTCTCAGAAGTAGGTTTTTCTTATAGTCTTGCTTGACAAACTGAATGATATTCTGGTCCATTGGTTGAATCAGTGCAGTGTAATTTGGCGTAAGAAACATCGCAGTGATGCATTTATCCTCAGTTGTTAATTCTTCTTCAGACGGAAGACCGGGAGCGTTATCAAGAAGGAACAACGCTTTTTGAGGAAAATTATGATATTTTAACCATTTTCTAACTTCAAGTACGAAGCATTCATCAAACCACTTTCTGAAAAGGTCTTTTGTCATCCATGCACTTTTTTGTTCGTAATAGTGTACAGGTAAATTAATGTTATTGAATGGCCGTTGTTTATTAGATTTCCCAATGACCATCATCTTAAGCGCGCGTGTGCCCGCAGCGTTAACACACGGTAGTATGGTTTCACGCTCTTTACTTTCTTTTCGTCCAGGCACCGATTTTTCATTACAAGAAACGTAGGTTTTGTTAGGCATCATACGCCAAAAATGCCCTGATTCGTCTGCAATGTACACCTGTGACGGGTCAAGATTTAAATCGTTCACCTTTTGCAAAAATCTTAATTTAAAGGGCTCTATGCAGGTGGCATCGTTAGAAAGTTTCTCTCCTGTAATAGTCATTAATCGTATGCCATGACGACTTTTACAATGTTCTAGCCATCCTTTGCTGGCCACAAAATCATCTTTTGTTATTTCCTTATGAAAAAACTTAGCTTTCATGGCCAACATGGGTCCTGAAATTGGTGCATGCCTATTTATTTCCTGAAGAAACCACATGTACAAAGCTTCTTCCACTTCTGGATGTTCAGCTTTCTTGAGTGTCTGTCTCTTGCCTGGCCCCCAGTCAGTAGTTCACACGAGCTTCTTGATCTTGATCTTTTAATGCCATAAATTATAGATCGGCCTACGCCGTATTCACTTGCTAAACTACTGAAAGTTTCATTGCGATTTAAGCGGTCTAAAATATCACATTTTTCTTTAATTGTTAACGTTTTGTGCTTTCGCTTTTTAGTTTGTGATGACATTACTAGGTACTATACTTAATACACAATGAATAAATAGTAAACAATGAACGCACGAGTTACAGACACCAGATATGCATAATTGTAGAATTGCATTTCACATAGCTTGCACTTTTTACAGAGTTTATAAATATACCATAATTTGCATTGTATTCAGTTCTAGCTATTTCTCGGTCCGTTTCACATCAATTTTGTACGTTTTGAAAATAAAAGTTTTTTAAAAACTTATTTCGGAGTCGTACTTCCGTAAGTGGCGCAGTCGCAGTAGGATCTACGTCGGGACGAGTTTCGCGAAGTTTCTATCGCAGATTACGGCGAGTACTCGGTTCGTTTTAACGTTTTACCTGACACGGACATCAAACCAGGACACTCCAAGAAGTTCCTGAAGAAGAAGAAGCCGACCAGAATAGTTGGGACTCATCCAAGGCGGATCCATTGAGGAAACCACCACCTGGAGCCTAGCGATAAGGATAGATAAGAAAACAACCACACCCAAGGCAGGATCCATCGAGGAAACCACCAACGGGAGATCAAAGATAAGATTAGATTTAAGGCAAATCACCACATCACAGATGAGAATCATCTTGTGGCTATCGTAAGACTCATTTCCTTTCGTATTTTCGCTTAGTTCCCATTATTTTTCTTATATCTACGACTAAAGCTAAAACGCTTGAAAATATAGTGTATGTCTTATAGTGACGATCTTGAAACTTTAATTGAGAGAATTGCCAATTGGAATCTATACAGAATGCCCGAAACAAGAGCGACTACTGCCTCAGCTTCAGGCGTTAGAGACGTAAATATATCTTTGCTTAGATATCAGGCTGATAACATTCCACCTTTCGATGGAAATCCTAAACAATTACATAGATTTATATCTTCTTGCGAAAATTTTCTAAGAGCTTTCCAAAATACAAATAATGTGAACGATCCAATCAATATTTGTTTGCTAGATACCATTTTGAGCAAATTGAGGGATCGTGCTGCAGATTTAATTGGTTCGCGATCAGAATTAAATTCATGGGTAGCAATAAAAGATTCTCTTACTGTAACTTTTTCCGATCAACGGAGTATTGATTGTCTCATTCAAGATTTAATATCAATAAGACCTTTGAGAAATGAAACAACTATGCAATTTGGAATGAGAATCCAGGATGCAAGGAGTTTGCTGTTTTCAAAATTGAATACTTCCATTGAAAATGCTATGGAAAAGTTGATCAAAATCAGACATTATGACGATTTTGCTTTGAAAACTTTTATTAGTGGCTTGCCATACCAAATGCAATTGGTTATCCGTTTGAGAAATCCCGATTCATTAGAACAAGCGTTGTCATTTTGCACAGAAGAAGAAAATTTCATTTACTTTAGTACTGGGCGTAACCAGAACCTCCAGAGTTCCTTATACAAACCTCAACCTAGACTCAATCCTCATTTTGTCGCTAATCAACCGAATGCTAATCGTACTGTCACAAATGGTCCACAAGTGAGATATATTCAAACTTCATTTGTTCAAAGCTCTCAAAATCACCCGAAACCAATGATGACTACTTTCCCTGGAAATTATTCTCATAGGCCTAATTTCAATAATAATTTTCCTCCTAGATCTCAGTTTTCTAATTACCCTTCCACTTCATATGCTCAAAATCAGACACAATTCCCGAGATTCAACCAGGCTAACACATCTGTTCAACGTCCACATTTCCAACAAAACTTCCAAAGGCCACCTTTCTCTACTAATAGACCTGCATATCCACAAATTACTGCAAGTAATAACAGTAATGTTACAACTAGGACAAGATATCCGATTCCTATGGATACGAGTTCAATCCATTCGAAACCGAATGCAAAATCATCCACCCAGCACTTATTTGCTCACCAAATTGAAAATGAACAATCACCTATTAATGAAACCATATTGACACCACCTACTAACGATTCTATGCTCAATGAAAACCAGTGCAATCCACCATATGAGCAATATGACTATTCTAATTATGATTTCTCTTGTGATGTTCCAAATCAGCATTTCAACCCAATGCTTGACAATGACACATATTCTCAAGAAGTTAACGACCCAACAATTGAACAACAAAATTTTTCCCATGTCCCTCCGAACATCGAACCGATATAATATATTTGAATAATATCCATACAGATCTACCTTACATTTATATTCCCGAATTAACTGCTTATTTTTTGATCGATACCGGTAGTTCCAGAAGTCTCATAGACCCCAAATTAGCGTATAAATTTTATTCAGATTATATTTCTGGCGAAAATTTCAATATTCAAACAGCTCATGGTATGACGTTCCATAACCAAGTAGCACATATTCCTGTATTCCAAATTTTCAATACTGACGATTTTCATAAATTCTACATTTTTGGCTTTTCTGATAAATATGATGGCATAATTGGTGCTGACCTATTAGAACAGCTACAAGCCAATATTGATTTAAAAAATAAAATGCTAATTACTCCTATGGCCCATATCCCCATTATTTTCGAAAATAAATCAAATTGTCCGAATCCACCTAAAAAATTTCAGACTTACCAAATCACCATAGCCCCTCGTACAGAACAAGTTGTGAAAATTCCCGTGAAGTTGAATAGCGGAACAGGTGTTCTAGAGTATACAAATTTTGGTAACAAATTAGAGATGCCTCAAGCTTTGGTGAATATTTCGGATAATTTTGCTATCACTACGATTATTAATTCGAGTGAGGAAGCTGTAAATTTAGAAATCAATAATCCTTTAGATATTGAACCTACAGAAATTTTTGATGTGCATGTTCACAGTGTCAATGAAACTGATGGAAATTTTGACAAAAATTATAATAGCATATTAAAGAATAATCTGCAAAGTTTACGTCTTGATCACTGTAATGAAGAAGAAGCGGATGCTATACACAAGCTTTGTTTAGAATTTAGAGACATTTTTCACTGCGAAAATATCCCATTAAGCTTCACTAACAAAATTAAACACAAAGTTAGGTTGACCGATGATACCCCCATCTTTACAAAAAGTTATCGTTATCCAGAAATTCATAGAAATGAAGTTAAACATCAAATTTCGAAAATGCTACAGCAAGACATTATTCAAGCTTCAACATCACCCTTTTCATCCCCTATATGGATAGTACCAAAAAAAGAAGATGCTTCAGGCAAAAAGAAGTGGCGAATTGTAATAGATTATAGAAAACTTAATGAACGTACAGTCGACGATAAATACCCTCTTCCCAACATAATTGACATTTTAGACAAACTCGGTCGAAGTCAATATTTTACGACACTTGATCTGGCTAGCGGATTCCATCAGATTGAAATGGAACCAGAAGATATTCCAAAAACAGCTTTTTCAACTGAAAATGGTCATTGGGAACTTAAAAGAATGCCTTTTGGTATGAAAAATTCTCCAAGTACATTCCAACGCGTCATGGATAACATCCTGCGTGGTCTCCAAAATGAAATATGTCTCGTCTATCTAGACGACATTGTAGTTTTCAGTAGTTCTCTTCAAGAACATATTGTACGTTTAAGACAAGTATTTGCAAAGCTCAGAGAATCAAATTTTAAAATCCAAATGGATAAATCGGAATTTTTAAGGAAAGAGGTTCAATATTTAGGACATGTCATTACCCCAGAGGGAGTAAAACCAAACCCAGATGAAGTTTCGGCAGTTAAAGATTTTCCTATTCCTAACAATCAAAAAGAGATCAAATCATTCCTAGGTCTCGTAGGTTACTATCGCAGATTTATTAAGGACTTTGCAAAAATTACCCGTCCAATGACACTTTGTCTTAAGAAAGAAGCTAAAGTCGTCCACACACCCGAATTTATAAAATCTTTCGAACATTGTAAAGATCTCCTAGTAAATGCACCTATACTCTCATACCCCGATTTTGAAAAATCTTTCATTGTCACTACCGATGCCTCGAATCAAGCTATAGGTTGTGTTTTATCTCAAGGTATCATTCCTAATGATAAACCAGTCGCTTATGCTAGTCGCACTCTAAACGAAACTGAAACTCGATATACTACTACCGAAAAAGAACTTTTGGCAATTGTATATGCTTGCAAACAATTTAGACCTTACATATTTGGACGTAAATTTTATATATATATACAGATCATCGCCCTCTAGTTTGGTTGATGAATGCTAAAGATGTTAATAGCAGACTTGTACGTTGGCGACTCAAACTAATGGACTATCAATATGAAATCATATATAAAAAAGGAAAATGCAATACTAATGCCGATGCATTGTCACGTATTCATGTAAATGCAGTAGAATCAGCTAGTGTCATAAATAACCCAGGTGACATTGATCAGGATATTCAAGATTATTTAAATCAGTTATTTGCCAATAAACAATCTCTCCCAGATTTGGAAGAAGATACCTTAGCATTGTTAAATTCAGATCCCGGAAATCCTATTACGGCTTCACAACCATTAGATTCTTCAAGAAATATACACATTTTACAAGATGTTCAAGTAGCTCCACCGAATAACATACAAAATGAATCTCCTAAAGACAGCGAAACTGAGACTGCCCACACTTGTAACGCGGAAAATAATTTCAATGATGGTATTCCTATACTAGATGAAATAATCAATAATAAAGTAACCCAAGTTATCGTTTCTAAAAATCCACACAATCAAACAGATGTCAAACAAGAAACCTTTGATAATCATAAAATTCTTTATGTGAAAATTCCAAATTCTGCTTCAGCCATAAATGAATTTCTTAGAGAATACACATCCAATGACAGAACATTTTATCTGTACTTCCATGAGGATTCACTTTATACTATGTTTAATAGAGTCTTCATAGATAATTTCGATAGCAACGAATTAAAATTAGTTAAATGTACAAAATTAATCAATACTGTCAAAGAAAAAGATGAGCAACTTATGCTGATTAAATTTCAACATGAAGGCAAGAGTAATCACAGAGGAATCAATGAAACATTAGAAAAACTCAAACGAAATTATTATTGGCCCCGCATGAAGTCCGATATCACACATTTTATTAACGATTGTGTAATTTGCCAAAAAGCCAAATATTCTAGAAATCCCCCATATATTCCACTGGTATTGACAGAAAGCATAGGAAAACCCTTCCAATTATTACATGCTGATGTATTTACATTCAATAGTCAACATTTTCTGACGATTATTGATGCTTTTTCCAAATTAGGACAAGCAGTTCCAATCCAAGCAAAGACCTCTGTCGAAATTTGTAGAGCATTCTTACATTATTTCTCATATTATGGTCTACCTGAGCGTATTACTCTTGATAATGGTACAGAATTTAAAAATGAGACTGTTAGGGAACTCTTGAAATGTCATAAAATCGATGTGCATTTTACTACACCTTTACATCACGAATCAAATTCACCAATAGAAAGATTCCATTCATCACTAATTGAGCATCTCAGAATACTTTTACAAAAATTTCCAAAAGAAACGACCACTAACCTTATCAATTACGCTTTAATAGCATATAACAGTTCATTACATTCTGCTACAAAATTCACGCCATTTGAATTGACTTTTGGGCACACTATTTCCAGAGATCCTTCGGACCTTATCGAAACTACTTTTTACTCTGACTATGCTTCAAATCATAAAGATAAAATGAAACATCTATACCAGCGTATTTCAAATGATTTGCAGGAAAATAAAGCCAAAGTACTCGAAAAACGTAACATTCATGGTAGCTCACAATATCAGTTCAAAGTAGGGCAAGTAGTCTATAAAGCTAATCGTAGAAGAAATAAAAAAGACAACAAATTTAAAGGTCCATTTGAGTTAGTAGAAATCTTAGAACATAACAAAGCAAAAATAAAAAATAAGTCCACAAATAAAATAGAAATAATACATATGAAGGAACTCAAAGTCCCTTCTATTTCAGGATCCTCGCCTGCAGCGGAAGATCGACAACAGAACTAGTATGTCCCAAATTCCACGACCTCAGCGACAATCCTGGCCTCCTTCCCTTAAAATTAGGAAACGCCCAGAATATTGCTGATTATTGGTCATTCATACAAATATTTGATATTTCCTATCTAGCTGAACAATTCTCAGAATTGCAAGTAATTTTTGGACAATTGAAAATGGAAATTGAAAATTCAACTTCCTATTTTACAGAAATAAAAGATTATTGTAATCTAATATTATCATTAGAATCAAAGATTCACGATCAATTGTTACAGATAAATCCAGTTTATAATAGAAAACAGAAAAGAGGATTAATCAATGGGCTTGGTTCGATCATAAAAATTATAACAGGAAATTTAGATGAATCAGATGCGAAACGTTATGATCAAGCATTATTATCATTATCGAAAAATCAAGAGAGAATCAAAACTTTAGTCCAGGAACAAGTTACAATTATCAGTCAGGCTCTAGATGTTTTTGAGCAAACATCGAAAAATATTACAAAAAACCAATTAATTTTAGAATCACGTATCCTGCAATTTGAGAAATCTCTGATGGCTCTTCAGGCAAAAGATTTACGCTTAGAAAACGAACTTTTTATACAAATTGTAATTTCACAAATATTAACTTCATTTCGATATATCCACGATGTTTTAGAAAAGTTAGAGGTTGCAATATCTTTTGCAAAACTTAATACATTCCATAATTCTATATTGAAACCTCAAGACCTTCTAGTAGAAATAAAGCTTATCTCAGAACATTTACACAATGTCAAACTACCATTTGAACCTGCTTTAGAAAACATTCTGCTTTTTGAGAAAATATTAGAAATCAAAAGTTATAGTAAAGGCAACCAAGTTATTTTCATTCTGGAAATTCCTTTAGTAGAGGTCGATAGATATAATTATTATCACCTATACCCATTACCTACGACGACATCCAATCAATTTAAAGTCATATTTCCTTACTCAAACTACCTAATCCTAAATGAGCACGCTTATAGCCTTTTTGACAAAAACTGCAAAGAAATTCAGCCTGAACAATATGTTTGCCACGAGAAGAATCCAGTAAAGCTAAGCAAAGGAAATCCATGTGAAGTTCAAATGTTACTGTATGAAAAGAATATTACTAACTGTTTTCAAATGCCGATACAAGTACAACAAGAAAAAGTCAAAAAGCTAGATGCAGAAAACTGGATGTTAGTTATTCCCAACAGAAAAATTGTCACATATAGGTGTGGTGAAAACCAAGACAAAATTCCACTTCGAGGAACATATCTACTAGAAAATTGCCAAAACTGCGAAGTCTATATGGGTTCAACTGTTATAAAAAGTCGCCGGAACCCAAAATCACAGTTTAAGTATATTGCACTACCAAAGCTAGTTTTTGAAGGATTCAAGAAAACGAAGACTGCCCATTTGGAACCTCTTCAACTAGAATCCATTAACTTCGAAGAAACGAACAACATTAGAGCCGCCCTGGATTTGAACAAGCACAGACTCCAAGAAATCCCCGATAATCCAATTATTGATCTCCAATCAGGAAGCATCTGGACCATCTTACTGTATTCCCTAATTGCCATCATCTGTGGCTACCTCACTGTTAAATCTTACTTTAAAAGAAAACAAGCCGAAAAGAAGAAAGAAAATAGAAAAACCGAAATTATTGTTTGAAGCTAAGAATGATAAAGATAGAAGATAAGTTATAGAAGACAAACGTTAAAGAGAAAGAAGATAGAAATTATCCAAGAAGAACGAAAACTTTCAAACTTCACCGTTGGTTCAGTTTCTACGGCGGGAGGAGTTACAGACACCAGATATGCATAATTGTAGAATTGCATTTCACATAGCTTGCACTTTTTACAGAGTTTATAAATATAAAATAATTTGCATTGTATTCAGTTCTAGCTATTTCTCGGTCCGTTTCACATCAATTTTGTACGTTTTGAAAATAAAAGTTTTTTAAAAACTTATTTCGGAGTCGTACTTCCGTAAGTCACGCTAGGCCGTACCGCTATCAACAGTAGTCAAATTCAAACTAAGTAAAACAATGCTTACGCGTCGAGCACGATAGCGGTGGTGCGTCCAAGTTGTAACCTGTTCAAACCTGCGTGATCTGCATTAGCGAAGATTGTCAAATACGTATGTATGTAATACATATTCAAAGACATGTCGGATTACAGGGTGGCCGGATTATTGGGGGTCCAATGTAATGAACAAAAAAAAATGTCAAATTCCTACAAGAAATGCTGTTGGAAATCAGCTTTGAATTTTGAAAGGAAGTACTGAGAAATTGTTCTGCTTGTCCAAAAGGACAAGAACAAATTTTACTCAATAAAATCACTGTTGTTCAAAATTCTCAAAAAAGCCAGGTTGAGAGAGAGTTGTCATTTTTACTTCGTATGCATCTAGTAAGGAAGTATTGAAACCAGGAAAATATGAGATATGTCTTTTGGATGTGAAATGGTATGTGCATCACGGAAAACCATGTCACTCATTTTCATCGGTCTGTCCTCTAATTATTGACCCGTCTATAACTTGGGAAGTACCGCTTGGGTTTTGATGAAATTTTCATAAAGGGTTACCACTATGTCAAGGACGGAAAAGCTTTCTAATTTTTGGAAAGCGGTTTAGTAGCGGCAGAGAAAAGTGCTAGAAACAAAAAATAGAACTCGCTCATAGTTTGCTTTTTGATATTTCAAAGGATCCTGATCATTTTCAGAAAAAAATTTGCAGTTGGATGTTGTAGGAGGTGTGGAAGAGTTCATGCATTTTATACGTTTCCAATCCCGGTCATTCTACGCACCTGTTAGACATATTTCATACATTATAGACGTTCCCGTACATTTGCACTTAAAATTTCTATCAATGAAAAAAACGAGAAATATAAATTATATAAGACAAATCCAACAGACGAAACAAAACAAAAATATTTGTACTATAAAACTAAACTCTGTCAATTGATCAACATTTTAAACAAAAATATTCCACAGAAAAACTACAAAACAAATATATATATATATATATTGAGACGTGGTCATTGTCGTCTAGACCAGTTAGGTGAAAGTCCCGGTGCTTGGCTTAACCAACACAGTCTACTCCATCAATTGCAACAGCTGCAACCAAATATACATAGGTCAGACCTCCAGATCTCTTAAAGGAAGGATTACATCACACAAAAGTGATGCTAGGCTTCATCCTGAAAGATGCGCTCTAGCATCTCATGTTAACACAACAGGGCATTCTATGAATTACACAAGTATCAAAGTTCTTGATAAAGAAAAACACCTTTCCAAACGTTTATTCCTGGAAATGTCCCACATTTTCATGAATAACAACTGTATCAACAAAAAGACAGATGTTAAACAACTGAGTGTCATTTACTCATATTTGCTAAACTGCGAAAAATTGGAGAACTTACATATCTCGCCAAATTTCGACTCTTCACAACCATAAGTAGAATCTGTGTTTTGGCCGATTCCACCAGTACATTTCATTCCACTCAAAATCTAATAATTCTCTTTTCACGATTTATTAATAATTGTTAATTTAAATTCCCATTAATTAAAATATAGTTTGTTCAACTGCCTCTGGTCGGTTTAACAATTTCTTACATAACATTCTGAAAATTACATCATCTGAAGTGATTTGGCAACGTTTGGCACACGCCCACAATTCGTTCCATCTTTCAACACTGACATTAATACTCTTCGGCCTTCTGTCTCACTCGTTATTCCATGACCACCATTTTGTGCAATCATCAAGTGGCTTCACGATGTAATGCTCTAATGTTTTTAAATAATTTTTAATCTGTTTTTAACAGTGAGTAGATCTGATCAAAAGAAATGTTTTTTTCCTTTAACATTTTTGTGGTAAAATTAAAGTAACAAAGTTATAGCCCTTTAGAAGTTTGAGTACCGCCCTGTCTCAATAATAATATTATGTGCTCGTGTTTGGCAACAACGTATATAATCCGCCTTCATCGCATCGGAAACAAAAAAGCGAAAGAATTTGAAACGCTGATCACGATGTTTTTATTCGGTCTATGTGTCAGTCGGTAACGCGTGAGTGAATAGTGGTGTTTGCTGCGTGGCTCAAACGAAATAAAAAATGGCACATGTTTATGCGGATCGGTTTCCCAATCGAGTGCAACCAACCCCTCGTGCCTTTCTTAATGTAGTACAACGGGCTCGTGAATCAGGTGACCTAAGACCTCACAGGAGAGGGCATGCCGGTGCTCCAAGACCTCACGATCAAATACAGGTCCGCACTGAAATACTTGTCGGGAGGATATTTTATAAAACAAGGTAAACATTTTTTTTTATTTTTTTTTTATTTTTACACACATATTTTGGTTTATCTTCCTTCTACAATCATTATTTGAAAATTAATGACTCAACTTCAAAGTCACCCTGTATATATATATATATATATATATACATATCCATCTCCCTCATACATACACATGCAACCTACCCCTGTGAACGTTCGTTCGGTAAGCTCAAAGACATACGTTTTTTAGTTGTGTGTCTCCGTCCCCTGTTACCCACTTCATGCGTACTGGAGAGAGTAGCAGATGCGCCCATGGTACGGAGTCTCGATCTGTTTACTTATTTCATATGGCGTTGATAACGTAACCGCCACGATTGGTGTCTACAACTATATGTAATCGTTCATATTTATTTGTAAACATTTTGAATAAATATTACTTATTTAATAAAAGTAATATCGAGAGATTTGAATGCTTGGCAAACCTTTTTTGCGTACATTACTGAGCAGAATTGCCAGGTAAGAAAAGCAATGAGTCTGTCTTATATCCTAATAAAGCACCTCCCAATACAATCTAGTCTTGGCGGTTGGAAGAGCAGCCCGTAACCACAATGTGATTTACAACGCAGTTGCATAACGCGCGATTCAAGTGCAATAATCGATCAGGTTAATTAGGTAGAGGGCTCCCGCAGGGCGGCCGACCGCTCCTCCACGGGAGGCACCGGGTTATATGGTGCCCCTCTT